ATAAGTTATAAGTTATAAGTTAAAAGTTAAAAAGTTATAATTGATGGTTTATGCATTTATGATTAGTTTATTTGTTTCAATGATTTCATGATCAAAAACAAATAAATTCAACTGATTTGAATTAAATTCACTATTAGAATTATTTGTAAGTAATTATTTGCAGCTAATCAATCAACGGATTCCACATGAATCATCGGGGATCAGAATCATGATCTCAGAACTCGGAACCAATCCTTAGTAGTAGCATTCATCTCTTCGCATCATTACTGTTAGTCATTATTAGGAAGTATTATTTGTAGCCTTGTAGCCAATTTACTGCTATCACTAGTTATGGCTCAACTATCGATATCACTACTACTACCTTACTAGACTGGTTACATTGCGTTCAAACAGTAAACGTTGACTCAGGAAACTCGCTATGCGGTTCGTCAAGGACTCCGCCATCCGCGAGAAGGACATAGGACACACATCACGTTCGCGGCGGTGGCTTCCCACAGCAGTGCTCCGTGCTGCGTTACTCGGAGTTTTACTGGCTCACGGTTAGCACTTAGCCATAACGAGTCACGAATCATCAGAATCATAATTCATAAATCATAAATGTATGACTGTATGAGTCTATGAGTCTATGAGTCAAAATATTCATAGCACTTCACTAATTCGTAATTCATTATGAACTCCGATTATGGTATCAATGATATCGTATTATTACCGTATTATATTATGATAAATTATGATGATTTATGATTTATGATTCATAACTACTCATAAGTATGAATTATGAATCATGAATTACTAAGTTATGACTTACGAAATTAATAGTCCTGGCAGGTTTGGGAAATCGTCAGCGAGCACAAGTGCCATCAAGGGATCCCCCACGGCATTTTCGCTTTCGAGCATCGCATATTGGTTCGGAAGTTCGTCCTCATTTGTGGGGAAGGCGGTTTCATCTGTCCAACGTCATGTCCCCATGGTTAGCACTGCTAAGCACTCGTGTCAGATAAAATAATTTAATTTGATTTAATAATAATAAATCCGCGTGCCACTGAGCAGGTGCAGGCTACTGTTGCACATTTCTTTATGTGTTGTCAACGCCGGTTTTGCATCAACATGCTGCAGAAGGCCCCTTGTCTGCAACCAGCCACATCCAGGCAACTAATGACACATGCAGACACATGCATGTGGTTTGGGCGAGCTCGGTTATCAGAAGTTAGGAGTTATTTTTCATTTTATATGCTTTGTAGATGGATGATAGGCAATCTAAAATTATGTAATAAATCATGCAAAATATACAATAAAATTGCACGGTGCAAGGTGAGCTATAAATTGTAAGTTATATATAAATTAGGCATAAGTTTAAAGGTGTAGGTATAGACGGTATAGTCGGTATAGCCATAGTCACGAGTCACAGGTCATGAATCATAGAGCCATAGGCTAGAGGCTACATGCTATGCATAGCAATATAGCTGTAGTACTGACGGTCAAGACGCCACATCATAATCAAACATTAGTGCAGCGCTAAGTTCTACAATGGCCCCACATACAGATACATATATATTATATAGTTATATAGTATATATTATTATTACATTATATAATATAATGATATGTCATATTCATATACAGACAATCTGACTCGTGCCACACTGATACAATGAGCAGAGTAATTAAGACGGTAGACTATAGACCGCGACCTCGCATGTGTGTTTGGCTCATGACTCATGATGTAAAGTTGGTCAACAATGATAGGTTACGGAGCCGTTCGTAATTAAATTAAGTTAATCAGACTATGTTGTGTCAATTAGGTAGTTTCTTATCACTCTGATTATCATCGTATATGTGCCCCTGTATCACTGTATCACTATAACACTATGACTATAACGCATGAATCGTTTAATCATGAATCATGAATCATACTGATACTGGTACTGTTATAAAATAAAATAACTGACAATGACAATAATGATAATTTAAGTATTAGTGATTAATAATAATTCAGTATAAAAATCATACTTTACATACTGTATACCTGTATAACTGTATAACTATAACTGTATCTGTATACGTATAACGGTATGTCTGTATATACTGTGAAACTGGTATATATATATATTATATTGCGTACTCATACTGACCCATACCACATCTCATACAGTATCATGAGTCATCTCTATCAAACTCATAGGTCATAGGACTCATTGACGCACATGCATTGCATCATCATTCCCGCGTGTCTTTGAGACCGCAGCCACGAAGCGATAATACGGGCGGACCACTTGGCAGTTGCGGCTGTGTCTCTGTCGTTCAGTGCCATGGCTAAGAACAATCACGAGGACACCGTTGCCATCGACAAACAGTTGCCGAAGGCGGAGGCCAGCAGCCGTGCAGACGAGATTGGGGAGGTGACCGACTGCAGTGGCAACAAGGGGCAGAAGCCGACGACAACCGCCGAATCGACGCCCAGCCCGCCAGACCAGAAGAAGCGACAGAACATGCTCTCCACACCGAGCCCGATTAGCTGCATACCAACACCCACAGCACCTCGAAAGAAAAGGCGTGCTGTGGAGACGGAGCTTTCGCCGACGCCTATCCCGTGGAGGCTACCATTCCGCACGCCCGAACGCAGACCACCGGTGACGCCATCGACACCGCTAAGCCGTGGCAGTGGACTATTTTACATTAGAGGCTTGGACTGACTTAGAGTCCGGAGTCCAGAATCAATGACACGACGAGAAGCTAGGTGTGAGATTGAATAGGCATCGAGTCCATGCATAGCCCAGGACACTTGTTGAGTTTCGAGACACTAGCAAGACAGTGCTGGGTCTCAACAGTCACGTCTGACGGGACCTTGCAAAGAGCAGGTTCTGGTAGGAGTCATGTTANNTCCTGAAGCTACACACTCGGCCGCTGCTCACAAAAGGTGCTGCATATCCAGTGACATGCCACCACGTGCATTCTCTGGGCTGTGTATATAAGTTTGTACATATGATATTGATATTATTATTAATTATTATTATGTATGTAACACTGTATGTATATATAAGTTAAGAAGCTATAATGATGATATGTTATATATTATATATTATATTAAATTATTTATATTTATGTTATTTAAATTTTGTATAAATTATACATCTCTAACTAAATCAAATTATACTATTTTATTTTATAGTAAAATGTAGTGTAGTGTAGTATGGTGTAGTATACTATAGTATAGTAGAGCATAGTAGAGTATACTATAGACAGTAGAGTATAGTAGAGTATACCACAGACTATACTATACTATCGTATATTAAATTATATTAATATTACATATTATATTACAGTATATTATATACAATTATACTACATTGTATTGTTAAGCCACACTTGACAAATTCCGAGAGTTTCGGTACGTCTATAAAATCTTAATAGTATAACAGTATAGCTGATGACATACCAAGACTATGTAACATTCTCTGTGTGTGTGTGTGTTTTCATGGGCATGGGTGCGCACACACATCACATGCTGGCCTGTCCTGCAGCCACGACACCAAAAGACTCAAGACTCGTCAAGACATCTTCATCTATAATTATAACTAAATTATAACGGAACGATCAGGCCCGGAGAGGGGGAGGGAGGGGGGGGGTGGAGCTATCTGGCTCTCTGAGACCTGCCACCAAAAGACGACTCAAGACTCAAGACATCTTCATCATCGACATCTTCATCTATAGCGACCAGGCGCAGGGGGGGGGGGGGTTCCAACGTCTGAACGATCGCATGCGGAGGTTGTGCGGCATCGAACCACGATGACGATGCCGGCAGTGGCGGTGGAGCTCTTCGATAAGCGGCAGGTGGGGTTCCCGGTGGCTCCCTAAACTTTAAGCCTAAACCCTCAACCTGCCGCTGTAATGGTCCTTGCCAGTTCCAGTCAATGTCAACATTGCCGCGACGCTGAATGGTCTGAACCTGAGCCTTGTCAGGGACCTTCCTGCAATTTATACAGGGATTACCAGACCTGCCAGACCGGCAACTCATAGCTCATGACAGGACTCATGACTCATGACATGACTCATAACTTACATTTACATAGCCAAGAGTAGCTGCACATCAGCATATCATAGAAGAATGAATCATATCATATCATATCATGTAAATCATATATCATAGAATATATATATATATATAT